AATAAATAAATAAATGTATATTAAATCAAGCATTCTACTCTAAATTAAAAGAAAAACAACAAAAATTGTGCCACCTCATGCTAAGATTGTCGATTGATAAAAATAAACATCATCAACAAAATGTTTTCCTCCTCTTACGATGAAGTCTAAAACATACGAGGCAATCATACACAATAGCATTAAGTGAGTGATGTTACTGAAACATCAATTACAAGGGTAACGCATAGTTTTTATATTTTTTTCTTTTAAAGCTTAAAATTTTTTAATTTTACTTTTGATCTTTTAATTTTTAATTTTTAATTATTAAATATTTAAAAATTTAAATATTAAACCTTAAATTTTAAAAATTTAAACCTTGGCATTTTAAAATAAAAAACTCAAAAAATCTAAACCCTAACCTCAATAGATATAGAACCCAAATAATTTAAACCCTAACACCTTAAATACGATTTTTTTTTAAATTAAATACTAAAATTCTAACACTCTAAACATAAAACCCTAAAAATTTTAAACTTAATAAGACTAGTTTACTTAAAAAAAGTGAGACTAAAATAAATTTAAATTGTTAAAAAAAAAAGAGACTAAATAAAAAATTTACCCTAAAAAAAATGAAAATCCATTGGATAAGATATGTCGGCCTAATCAACCTGCTAGGTTTGGTCCCCCTAGCATTTTCTCAATTACAATTAATATCACACAAAATATTGTTAGGTTTTATTGCAAAAAAAAATAACACTCTAATTTCACTGCAAATTCAGTAACACATAATTAAAAAAAAAAAAAAAAACAAGGGTTTAACCAACACAATGGGAAATTTAAGCCTAACAAAAAAAAAATGAAAAATTAAATATTTTCTATACTATTTATTATTAATATACTAGGTAAGTATATATATAATTTTCATTTAAATGTAAAAAATATAATTTTTTAAATCAAAATTCTTTTTTTTTTTCCCATGCCATTATCAAAAATCCTGAAATGAGAAATCTACTCCTGAAGACTTTCTATTTTTCACTAATTTATTTGTATTTTCTGTGAACCAAACATATATAGCATATATTGAAGTTTCGGCCAAATAAAAAAATAAATATAGCATATATTTATACCTTTCGTTTCCGATCACCACCATCATCAGGGAGAATGTTCCTGCCAAAGAAGCTTCCTTCGCTGCCGGCTACTTCATTAAAGGGATCATTATATTTGCCATCGTCTGTTCGATAAGGATAATCGCCGGGATTAAACCGGATACCAACCGGAGATCTCCCGACGTTAAACAAGTTGTACTTTTGATGAAGATGCCGGCGTATTGCCAGGTAAAATAAACCTAGGAACACCGGTAACTTAGGCCATATCCCCAACTTATCTACAAAATGCACAATCTGCATGCACATATATGTACCATATATATAATAAACATTTAAAATAATTAAACACTAAAATTCAAAGTTCCAAGTTAATAAAAGTAAAAATAAAAATAAACTAACGAAGAAGAGGAAACAGTCGATGAAAGTCATCCGTGAGATAGCTTCATGAAAGTCTGTATGGACGAAAGGATGCACAACTGAACTCAAAAGGGATCTAATGGATGCCAAGATTGTAGAGCACGACATTTCTTCTATTTGTTTTGCGGTTGCGGAGCTTGTATGAGCATATTGCAAGAAAGAGAATGCATGTTTATTTATAGAGAACAAGATATTACTGTTTTTACTTTTCTTTTGTTTTATTTTTTGTGGATGTCATCTTTTTAATATGGTATAATTTTCTAATTTCCATGGTTGAGAAACATGGATGGTCCGAATACCACTTGAAGCTCCAGCGTGGAGTTCTTATCATCAGTTCTGCCAATTGTCAATCCTAATTAGTTGGTGAAGACGGATCGTATTGAATCGCTAGGTGTGCAATTTTGACATTTGAGCCAAAGAAAAGGCTCATATAAATTTTAAAATAAATTGTTAATATATGAATTCGTCAAAAATTGTTAATATGCGCAGTAGTCTAACATTTCAGCCAAAGAAAAGGCTCACATAAATTTTAAAATAAATTGTTAATATGTGAATTCGTCAAAAGTTGTTAATATGTGAAGTACTCTTTTTTTATTTAAATTTTATGCAATAATTTAAATATTATTAAATAATATTTTAATGTACCTTCCTTTGAAAAAAAGATTTACAAGAGCAAAATATAATTAAAATCAAAATCTTATACTGCAAAGCTTACAACTTCGATACCATGCATGTAGTAAATTAAAGTATGAAGAAAAAAAAACTAAAAAAAATATCATACTTTATTATCATATGATATGATTTTAGCTTATTCACATGTAGTTTTTATGTGAAAATTAAGCAACCGTGGACCAAAAACTTAAAAATTTTAATTGATTTACCATAATAATTTTAAGATATATTATAATAATAAACTCACTAATACTGTATGCATTCCAAGTTCCCAATGTCTCATACTTAACAAAATAGTTTTGGGAAAGATGAATGGATTGAGCTGGTAGTTCTGACAGTTCGCTTTTTCTCCATTCATTTCAAGTTTTCAACCATTCATTCATTTCCTCTCTGTAACACGTTCCCATGACGCATCTGGACTTTAACTTTTCGGTTTTTTCTCATTTTTTTTTATAAATAAAAAAAAAGTCTGATATTTATCACGTATACAATAGTTTGTATAATAATTGATTAGAAGTTAAGTCTTTTTCCAGCCTCTCCGTAGTCCTAAATCCTAATGGCTTGAGTGTTTATTTTAAAAACACTCGAGTCATGGATTTCGGGTTCGAAGGTCCGGTGATCAGTGAAGTGAGTCTTTTATAAATTATTAAGGTAATCTATTTCTATCAACCGAGGTTTTTTTAATTTATATTTTAGGGCATGAAATTGATATATTTATAATATTAATTAATATTAAAAATAATAAAATTTGACATTAATTTTATATTTATATTATATAAGTTATTTTAATTAAATAATTAATTAAATTAAAATTAAATTTTATTTTTTTTAATGATAATTGATATTAAAAAAATATTTTAATCTCTTCCTTAAGTTACGTACTAAAAAAAACACCTATTAATAATTATAGAGTGTCTCGGTAGAAGACTACAAAACTGTAAGCATTAAATAATAATAAGTTCATACAACTATTAGGAGATTATTATAGTATCAGAACAGTAAATGAGTTAAGCTGAATGGTGTATTTAAGTATTTATATATATATATATATATTTTTTTTAAATTTCAAATTTAAATATTTGTCAAAGTTTAATATAATTAAATTCATACTCATACTCACTAGTCACTACCACACAGCACTCATGTAATTTGATTCACACTCTACATTAAAACGAAAGTTCTAATCTAAAATTATTAAATAAACAAACATAAAAAATATTTTATTAAATACATTTTAATAATTTTAGTAATTAAATTGTCCTCTTAAAATATTTTTTATCAAAAAAATATCTTTTAAAAACATATTTAATATATTCTAACATTTATTATCTAAAAATACCTTAAAATTTAAGATAATGATGTGTGCACACCTCCACATAAAAAAAAAAATCCAACACCCGATCCAACTTTTATTTTTATGTGAAAGGGTGCTGACCGAATGTGGTAATCATGATCCTAAAATTTAATATAACCATAATCAATAAATACTCGTCCTGCCATACCATTAATAATAAGATAAGATTAGATATTTTATAGTGTCATAGATATATTTAATGTTTCTTTTATATCACGTAATCATAATTTATTTTGCTTTATTTAATTCCAAATAAAGACTCTCGACTCTCGACTCTCTTCTCTAAAAACTTGCAGCAACAATATATATATATAT